AGACGGGACGAGTTCTGACACCACTGGGATTTGTTGATTCCTGGATTCTCTGAGTCCAAGAATCTCGGATTCAGCGTGTCCACCTGAGTCCTGAACAAGGTTGGCTCTGGAGCACGCATCCAAAAGGGGCTCAGTAAACTCAACTGTGTGGAACTTCCCATCGCCACGGGTCAAGGACGGTGTAGCTCTGAGGAAGAAGCAGACTGGACGAGCTCTGACACCACTGGGATTTGTTGATTCCTGGATTCTCTGAGTCCAAGAATCTCGGATTCAGCGTGTCCACCTGAGTCCTGAACAAGGTTGGCTCTGGAGCCTGGCACATGGGCAGAGGGGATGGACAAGGAGCAAAACCAAAGAGACCCAGTTAGGTGGAGTCCGGAGCCTGCAGGCGATGGGTTGCAAGAGAGAACAATGAGGAGCCCAGCATCACTCTTGGCACCTGCGTGCTGCTCAGGACCTCAGCTGGGCTGCAAGTAAAGAGGAGCCCTCAGCCCTGGCCCAGGGCCTTGCTCGGTGGATGCGGGTCCCTTCTGGCTGATTCTGAGGCTCCTTGGGCAGATATACTTCACGTTTAGCAGCTACACATTGCCAGGCCCTGGGCTGGTCCCCCAGGCAAGACAAATGTTGGAGGAGCCAGCTGGGACCAGCTGTCTGGCATGGGTTTGGGGAGGAGGCTGGGGGTGGGATGGAGGAAAGGCTGCCCAGCTCGGGGTGAAGTCTCCGGTGGTATCTGTCACTGACCATAAACGTGATTGAGAGGAAACAGTGCAAGGAGGGGTCTCCTCCCCTGCCAGGGTCCAGGGAGCAAATGTTTAAGACAAACGTCCCACCCTCTCCCTGCGTGCTCAGAATCAGGAAGGGATAGGAGCGGGGAGCAAGAACCTGAGCCTGTGGGTCCTCCCAGCCTTCTCCAGAGGCCTACTCAGCCCAGAGGGAGAGGTGTTGAGGCTGCCCAGGCTTCTAGAGACGCAGCACAAAGAGTCACAGAAGCTCTTCCCGTAAGCAGCCCGAGGCAAACTCTGAAAATGGTTTGCTTTTCACTTGACCCAGAAAACAGCACAGCATCGTGCAAATTGGAAGGTTCAAATCTTCGTGTTCACTTTAAGAATACCTGTGAAACTGCCAAAGCCATTAAGGGCATATCCAAAAAGCCACCAAATATCTGAAGGATGTCACTCTCAGTGTGTGCTATTCTATCATTACAATGATAGAGTTGGTAGGTGTGCCCAGGCCAGACAGTGGGGCTGGATGCAGGGTCGGTGGCCCAAAAAGAGTGCTGAATTTTTACTGCACAGGCTTAAAAATGCAGAGAGCAGTGCTGAACTTAAGAGTTTAGATGTAGACTCTTTGGTCGTTGAGCACATCCAGGAGAGCAAAGCCTCCAGGATGCAGCGTAGAATGTACAGAGCTCATGGGCGGATGAAACCCCTGCTACCAAAAATGAGCAGGTGGCTCCCAAACCAGAAGAAACTGAAAAAAACAAAAACTTATGCCCCAGGAATAAATTCAGCACAAAATAAATGCAAATAAAAGTTTTTTAAAGAGTTATATCAGGTGGCAGCTCAGAGCATGACCCTTGGTGCCTGTAGCCTGGGTTCAAGTCCCAGCTCGGCCACTTACTCAGTTGTGTTCTCTTTGCCACCCATGCCCTCAACCTCACCATCTGTGAAGGGGGAACAAACAGTGAGGGCTTGTCACAGGCGGTCGTGTGACCGGTTTCCTCATCCATAGATGATGAGGGTTGTTGCAAGGCTCAGATGAAATCACGTGTGGGCAGGCTCTGGCCTGGCCAGGCCTGAGGTCAGTGTCTGCTCCAACCACTTGTGTTAGTGACATGACCCCTTGACCTAGGTCCCCTTGGCCCCCACATGGCAGCATGCTCAGGCTAAAGGCAATGGTGCTGGCCTCTTTCAGCCTGTTTCTCCAACTTTAGGAAGCACCATGCTGCACAATCTGGCCACAGCCTCCAAAAATTCCAAGCATCCCCTTGCCTGGACATTTTGCACCTCCGAATGTCCCAGACAGAAGCACTTGGTTGTTTGACCTTCAGAAAGATGGCTCCTGTTGCTCACATTCCTTCTCCAGTGTTCTCTTTAAAGCAGTTAATTTTCTTTGCAAATGTGTGAACCCTTGGGGTTAATTAGAGCAACTGTGGAATGTTAAAGGAGAAGGAAATCCTGAACCTGACAGAAATTGATTCCTGGATTCACATCTTTGCACTCTTCCATAGAATCACAAAACTGTGTGATCTAGTCCAATCCACTGGTTGTACAGGCTGGGAAACTGAGGCTCACAGAGCAGTGCTGACCCAAGTCTGGAGGCAGAGCTGGGCAAATCCAAATGCCTGCCCTTTTTCCGGGCTCTTCCCCCACACTCGTGCTCCCATCCACGTTCCCCAGTGACTTGTTTGTAAAGGCACAGATTCTGTGCGGTATTTACTTTCTCACTGTGGGAGTAACACCAGGAGTGACAGCAGAATGTGGGGGCTGACACTGGAGTCATCCAGACCTGGGTGATACTGTGGCTCCTCCGAGTACAACCGCAGGAACCAAGGTCATCCCCCGGAGATGTAGATGTCTCCTGTATGACCGAGGGCGGGTGGGTAATAATACCTGCCTCATGGAGTTAAGAAGATTAAACATAATGTAAAAAGCACGTAGGGTGTTGATGGGAACATGCATCATTTGTGCTTTCCTCCTCTTCCTCATCTATTTTGCTCAAAAATGAATTTTAAAAAGTTGTTTTGAAAATTTGGAGTTTTATTGTTGTTTGCTTCTTTGTTCTTGATCAAACCCATGACCTCTCCAAGCCCCCACTGAATGTGTGAGGTCAGCCTTGGCGTGGGGCCCGGGTGGCAGGTGGGGAAGGCTGGTTCTGGTCCTCTGTACCCTTGTGGGTTTGCATGCAATTTGCCTTTTATATTTGTTCTCAAGCCCCAGTCATTCTCCTGAGAGCAGTAAATTTATAGTCCCTGTCCCCAGGAGGCAAAATCCTGAGGAAAAACAAGGTGCCAGAATGAGGTGGCACCCACAGCACAGGAAGAGGGTGGGAGGACCGGTACTGAGGGACCACATCCGGGGGAGCAGTGGACAGTGGTGCTTCCTGAACGGCTGTCAGCACATGGGCTTGTCCCCGGCAATGCTCTCTTTGCTGCTGGCCCTGGGAACCACGGATGCCAGATATGGTGACAATGGATGTATTGTTCCAGAAGCCAGGCCCTGCCTGGCTTCTAATTCCCCATCACCTGAACAAATGTTGATCACTGAGTGTAAACTCCAACGTTTCCCTGCAGGTTGAGGATGCTCACTCAAAGGCTTCCAGGCTGCAGCCTTCTCAGGAACTGATACCCAGGCCTGGCCTGGTGATTGACAAGATGCTGGATGAAAAAATAAAATGGAAGCCCTCCTGGGGAACTGCTGGAGCTTCCTGCTCCCGCTCTTGGACTGGCCTGCAGCCCTCATACTGCCCCCACCCAGAGATAAAGGCCCAGTCTTAGCTCCTCACAGGCTCATTCCTGCCCTGGCCTCTTGCACATCCTGTCCTCACAGGAGGGACACACCCTGCTTCTGTCTGCTTAGCATGATGGCACACATATGGCTGCACATTAGCATCACCTGGTCACAAATACATTGATGCCCGGCCCCAATCCGGAACAATGAAATCGGAATCTCTGGGGGAGGAACATGGGGACCTAGACTCCCCAAAATGATTCTAACGTGCAGCCAGAATTGAGCCACTAGATCACTCCCACCTACCCAAGACACTTAGCTAAAGTCCCATTCCTCCAGGAAGCCTTCCTGAACTTACCCCATACAGGTGACCCTCCTCCTCTGAGTGCCTGTGGGCCATATGAGAGAGCACAATAACTGGGCACTGATGGCAGTCTGCTTTGTATCAGATGGTAGACAGGGAGCAGAATCCAGACTTAGCCCCTTGCTAGCTGTATACCCTGGGTCAAGTTACCAAAACTCTCTGAGACTCAGTTTCCTCATTTGCAAAATGGGCATTAATAATAGTACCTCATAGGCTAATATGCTTCCACTGACAGACTCCAACCTCAAGCCCACCTCTCCCCCCAGGGGTCCTCCATTACCAAAACCATAGGCTCCCACAAGACCAGCGAGTGAACCAGATCCCAGGGATCTTCATCCCCATCCCCACTCACTCTCTCCTTCATCCTGTGTGCTGGGAGCAACTCGTCAGCAAGATGCATCCCTCCTCACACTTCCTTCCAGGGAGACTCCTGAGCCTCCAAGTCTGACCTTGCAGGTGGCCGTGAGAAAAACAAAAGGCAGAAAACTACCCTGCACCGCCTCCCACCGCCACAGGAGCCCCTCCCTTAGGATCTGTTCTGGCAGATGGGCAGAGCCTGCCCCGGCTATCGGCTGGCACGGGGGCACAACTAGAATCTTGTACGGTGCTTCCACTGTTCAGAAAGCACTTCCACAGGGTATTTATTATATGTGTTCCTTGTGAGATGGGCTCTTCTCTCCATCTGCCAGATGACTTGCCCAAGGTCACGGTTAGCTCTAGGGCTAGAGTTGAAAGTATCAAGAAATTGGAAATAGAAATGTCCAAAAACTGGCGAAATGATTAAGTTCATCAGAGTACATCATATTGTGGAATACTATGTAACTCTTCAAGTCATGTCTTCAAATAATTGTAATAACATGGGGAAAGGTTCATAACAGGTTAAATGAAAAAAAGCAAGACAGAGTTTGATTTCTGCTTGGTGATACGGATGTATTTACTGGTGAATATATAGACAAATATAGATTGCATATATATTTGCAATAATACCAAAAATATCTGTAAGTTGCTCCCGGTCCTCCCTCGGTAGGTCAGGCCCCTTCTCCCGGCCCTGCCCCACCCATGTCTCCTGTGTGAAGGTGAATAAGAGGCACCTGCCGACCAGGAGTCTATACTCTGGGACCTCGTCTGTGAATCCCATTTCTGTGAAAAATGATAGCAAGGGGAAGAATCAGAGTACTGCCAGTAGGTGGTGTTTATAAAGTTTTTATTTTCCATTTTCTTAAAAATAACATTTGATTTCCTTTATGCATGTGTGGAGTGTACTGGTTTCCTTAGGCTGAGTAATAGGCAGATAAAGACAACAGGAGGCAGGGTCCCCAAGTGGAGGCGGGGGCTGGGGTGTGAGGGGTGTGAGGGGTGGGGGGCACAGGGTAAAGGGAGAGGGTGGGGTGATCCATGGGACGCTTGAGTGCCCATCAATGCACACACACGGTCTAACACTTTTTCGATTTTTTTTTAAAGACATCTAAAATTACTGAGAGATACAATTTCAGCACTTAAAATATACAGACGGAAATCCAAGTACTTGAACACAATTCTTAACTCTAAGCTCAGTTATTGCACATGACACAGTTTAAGTAGCTTCAGGCTATAAAGCAGTTTGCTCTGTTTGGGACTTCCTTGGGATGCCTCGAGTCCCCTTTTGCACCCCCAGTGGCTCTTCCCTTCGATCCCTGCCAGCCCACAGCCTCATGATGATGCCAGGTGTCAATGGATTAGCCATTCATTCTCCCCAAGGGCTGAAGGTGAGGCTTTGGTGAAATGGAGGGTTCCCATGTTGATCCCAATGAACTCACCCACTCATAGGTGAATTGGAAGCAGATGGAGCTCATGAAAGGCTGAGTAGGTGGCCTGCCCACTAAAACCAGGCAGGCTGGCATGAGGAGGGAAGGATGACCACTGACTCCATGTGGTCACAGCCCCAGCAGTCATGACGGACGCCCCATCCCTCTCATTAGCATCACCTCCCTCTCCTTCCTTCCTGAGCTCCATACCACATCTCCTCCCCCATCACCCCTGGACCCTCTCTGAGTGGTCTCTCAAGGCACATTTGTTCTCTCCAACTCCAACCTGCCCCATCTCAGACACACCCATCTCTCCCAGCACCCATGGGTAAGGAGGCCTTGGGCAGCTCCAGAGCCAGGCAAGAAACTGTTCTTTTAAATTTTTGGTTGAGCTCTTTTCAATGCAGCCCTAATTTGGCTGCCTGCCTAAGCCAGGGGAACGGGGGCAGGATGGAGAGAGGACATCTAAGTAGAGGGGCATGGGAGGGCCTGGGTGGCAGGCAACTTAGTGAAGGGCACAGATCTGAGGAGCTGAGGAAGGACCACCCTGCAGCCTTGCTCACGAGGAAGCCTGCTGCTTCTCTGATGAGAAGTTGCTTGGAGGCCTTCGGCCTGCTGGGTACAAGCTGCTTTGTCTGGTTTGGGGGAACCTCTGTCTCAAAGAGTGGGATGAAAAGCAACGTGGGGGCTTCAGAGGCAGGGCAAGGCTGGAGCCGAGTCCCACCAGGGTCCACTTCAAGGCCTTTTGCTTTCTTTCTACAACATATTTACAAGGTCGTAAAAACGTGCACCCCTGGGAGAGGAGGGTAACAGTGAGAGGAGAGGGGTGCCCCTTCCTCCCTGTCCTCCCACCCCGGAACGCCCCAGGATCCTCAGCTGCCGCCCCAGGAGGACATTCCAGAAGTCTGAGCTGGGGCAGAGGGAAGAGACAGATTTCAATCCTAGCAAGAGCAGGGAGTTTCAAGTTAGCTCCGAGTGAGAGAAGCGGCTGCTCAGAGAGCAGAGGGCTGACATGAACGACATTTCCCTGAACTGAACTGAACTGAGCCGGAGACCAGAGGGAGGAGGCGGGAAGACAGGGAAGGGGAGCGTGGGGAGGCGGGACACGGGGGATCTGGGACAGCGCGTCACCTTAATGGTCAGAATTGTGCTGCAGAATGAGAAGCAGTTTATGGAGCTAACTGGAGTTTCATTAGTTCCTCCAAGAGAGGAATTGGAAGCTGTGGATTCCAGAGTGGAGTTAAGGGGCGGACTAGGCGAGGTTCTTCCACAAAGTTCAACAGAACAGCGGATGCTGCAGAAGCCGGGGAGAGCTAGGCCGGAGCCTCTCACAGGAACCTCGCCATGTGGACCCCAAACTCTGCCAATGCAGAGTGCCCCTCCAACCATCCTAGGCCCCCAGGGATGGACCTTAGGCTCACACTCAAGTGCACGTGCAAACACTCACACACACACACACACATACACACACTCACACTGAACTCAGCATGTGCCAAAGGGCAGCTGTGGCCTGCGTCTGTGTAAGAAATGCTTCACCAGTGCTGTTAAGGTATTTGCTTCAACAGGGAGAACTGGACAGATTGGGGTGGGGGTAGGAGAGCATGGGTACCTTTTCACCTACACCAGCTTCCGCCTGGTAAAGATTTGGGGAACAGTGAGGTGTGGCCTCAGGGGCTGGCTGCCCCAGTCCTATCCCCTCTGACTTTTCACAACTCCAGAATACTTCAGAGCTTAGAGAAGCCCCTCCACTACAGTAGCCCTAGGGGACCCTCAGAAGGGACAAAGAAAACCCCAGCGGCTGAGGGGAGTGTGGTTGGAAATGGCCCATGGCACAAAAGTGCCTCCCCTGGAGGAGAGATGGAGAAAGGTCACGTCTCCGAGGTCAGGAAGGTTTCAGGTTTCCACTGTTCCTCCTCTACAGAGTCTAAGGGACAACCATTTCCATAGGCCTGGGTGGAGCATTTATTAAGCACTGGAGCACTTATTAAGGGGTCAGGGAGGAGGTGGGCGCACACGCACACCCTAGTCAAGGCCCAGGTTCTTTACCTGCTGCTGAATGCTCAGGCTCCCAGAGTGGACCAGAGGACTCCAGCAGGGGAGACGGGCAGGTGCGGCACCCCATGTGGCCAGGCAGAGCTCACCTGCATAACTACCCACTGCCTCCAAGGGAACAGCCCTACCTGAGACCCACAGAAAGAGGCTAGACTGTTCCTGGTCTGGTATTCAAGGGTGCCCTGCCTCCACCCCTAAGAGCTCTACCTAGATTTGCAATGGCAGACTCTCCTCCACACCCCACTCCACCCACAGGCGGTGTGGCAAGGCCTTGCCCTGCTTCTCAGCTTGTGCCCCGAGCTCCCTCTTGGCCATCGCCAGTCACACTGGTGTATATTAGGACAGTTTCTCTAGTGCTGGGGAGTCCAGCAAAAGAAAAGAGCTTGCTGTGGTGGGTGTGCACAGCCATCTCACCAGAGGCTGGTGGGCCTTTCACAACCAAGTCAGCCCAGCTTTGGGAGGGCCCCCAGCCAGCAGACAGCTACTTGCCCTCCCTTCTCAGAGATAGAGACGTGCCCACAGGCCAGAGATTGACCCCAGAAGAGGGAGGAAGAAGGGCAGGCAGGGGCAGGAAGAGGCAAGGCCGGCCGAGAGTAGCAAATCAGGACAGGGGTATTAGGGCAGGCCTGGATGCAGCTAGGGGAAGTAGCTAGGGGGGCATCTCATTTAATCAATTTTCACCTTGCAGTGGATATACATGTGTGAACATGTGTATTTTAAAACCAACAAATGGAAAGAAAACAACAAGAAGGCCAAAGGGGCCCTTGAGTGACTCACTCTGCTAAGGGCAGTGTGGACCAAGGACACATTTGTCAGAGCTCCCTACACACACACACACACACACACACACACACACACTCCTGGTCACACAAGTGCCATGCACACTCACACTTCCAGTCCTCCCTGTTGGAGCCAGAGTCCTTCCAACTGTATTTTCTGAATCCATTCGTAAGCTGCCTGCTTCTGTCCAGGTCTCTGCTGGCCCGTCCCCCGGCTGCAGCCCCCTGGCCTGGCATGGCCCCCCGAGGGCCGTCTACCAGATGTAGCCTCCGTCGTCCGCCTCGCCTGCCTCGCCCTCCTCCTCCTCAGCCTCCTCACCCGCTTCCTCCGTCTCCTTCTCCTCCTCGTCCTCCCAGCCAACTCCGCTCCCAAAGTCCCCTGAGAAGCCCACGATGTCATCTGTGAGGTAAACAAGCCAAGGGCAGGTTAGGACCCTGCTGGCCACCTCCCAGCTGCCAGCTGGGAATCCTGCCCACCAAGCAATTCCCCACTCAGGTCCCCCCAGGTGCAGGCCGAAGCCCCCATGCTGCTGCCCGGCCCTTACCACAGTCAGGGCTCCCGTGTGTGCGGGTGCCGGTCAGCTCCAGGCCCAGCTGGTCCACACACCAGCAGTCACCACTGCTCTGGTCACACTGCATCTTCCGGTAGTAGCCATCCTCATCACAGCTCGGGATGAAGACTCCTGGATGGGACAGGGCCCGGCAGGGTCAGAGCAGGGGCCTTCAGGTGAGGGCTCTTTGGAAAGGCAACCCTGGAGCCTTAGACATGAGCAGAGGTCCAGACCCCGCCAGTCTGGGTACCAACTACCCAACAAGCCTGGATGCTGGTGTTTCTTCCAGCTCCACTGACCGGAGATGAGAAAACCCACCTTCCTAAATGACCTGTTCCAGCCCCATGATGGCTCCTATCCACGTCTACCACTTCCTCGACCCCGTGGCCCGAGTCTTGTAGGATGGGCAATCTGAGCTCACTGTGCTCAATGCCTTCCATCCACAGCTGCTCCTCCCGCCTGGCTGCCCTCTGCAGGCAAAGCCCAGGCTTCTTCTCTCAGCCCCTCTGACTCTGACCTGCCTTCAGGACCTACCCACTTTCCCTCAGGCTCCAGAACAGCTGCAACTTTGTCCACTCAACAGACATCTTCTGAAATCACCACTTTGGGGGACCCAGAGATAGACTCTGCCCACTTGGGGGGCAGGGTATTGAGACACACATAGAAATAATACCAGCACCATAGGACGGGTGCCCAAAGGCCCACAAGCATGCTCAGAATACAGACCAGAGAGGATTGTGGTGGCTTTCTGGAAGAAGTAGCACTGAAGTCGACCCCTGAAGGCCACTGGGCTCGGTCAATATGGCTTTGAGGTTTGGTTCCAGTGTTTGGTTTCACATGTGCTAGTCTCATCAGCCCAGTTAAATGCCAAGCTGCTCTCAAGGATCTGCCTCTCAGACCTCTGTCCCCTCAACCATAATGCTCCAGCCACATGGGACCTTTCTTTCTGCTCCCCCAAGAACCTCAAGTGTTTTCCTGCCCTCAGCTCTGCACCTGGCTGGCTCATTCTCAAGTCTTCCCTTAAACGCCAGGTCCCTAGAGAGGCCTTTGCTGAGCCCCAGGCTAACTTCCGTCCACCTCCACCCCCTCACACCATAATATATGCAAGCTGCAGTTGGTAGTTATGTCTTTTTTGGTGTGTCATGTTTCCCCAAGTAGCCTGGATGCTTTCTGAGGCCAGGGACCAAGTCTGTCTTGCCCATCAGTTTTGACCTGGACTGGGTTAGTTTCTTCTCTCCAGGCCTGGCTCTCAAGTATCTGCTGAGTAGTGAGTGGCTGCTGCGGAGGGGCCCCACTCAAGCTTTATACTTGGCCTTGCTGAAATGAAATGAATGGAGGGTTCTAGGAACCTTCTGTATCCCAATCTCCAGCTTTAGCATGGACAGACAAAAATTGGTGCTTAAAACACATGTACTGAGGGGCTGGTTGGGAGACCCTGCCTCACCACAGTGATGAAAACAGGAAAGGAGTTTCCCATTCCTGTCTTCCTAAGCCAGTCTCTTCTGGGCTCAGCGTCCTCCCTAATGCCCAGGAGCTGGAGCCTCTAGTCTCAAAGGGACCCCGGGGCACCCCTCCCTGCCTCCTCCTCTGAGCTGCTCACCTGGCTTCTTCTTAGCAGCCTCCTGGATCTGGATGCGCTCTAGCTCCACCAGGCAGGGGGGTTCTATGGGGAGAGAAGCAGCCTCTGATGGGGGCTGTCCTGTGGTGCTGGCAGGACTCACTGAGCCCCTCACCTCCCACTCCAAGGCTTAGAAACCCAGGCAGGGGACACTGCGAGATAAAAATACCCAGGCTTGGATACAGGGCCACCCTACAGTGGTGGTGGTGGTGGGGGGAGATGCACTGATCCCTCTCAGGTCCCAAAAACTGACACAGGGACTCCATGAGATAAAAACACCCAGGCTCCAATCGAGAGAGGCCATTCCATGGCTATGGGCTAGGCTGAGGTCCCCAAGAAGCGAAGAGTTCTCTGAGGGTGTAGGAGACCCATGGGATGAGTAAACAGGATTCAAAAGAAGAGTGAACGCACACAGTCTGCAGAGGGAGAGGCGTCAGGGAGAATATAAAACCAGAGGAGATTTTTGATGAAAGCCTGAAAATAACTGGCAGCCAACTCTAACTTGTCTGTGACCTTGAGAAGTCCTCTAGCCCTTCCCAGCTGGAGGCCTGGCTGATGGTAAAATGAGCTCTGTTCCCAGGCTCCTGCCCAAGAAGGCTGCTGTAGAGAATCAACAGAATGAGCTTCCGAGTAAAAGCGCAGGAGCGATGCCGATAGCGGAAGGCTAGGCAGTTAGGGGCAATAAAACTGATCAAAAGACCTCGCTTGGCACAGGGATTTGTCATTTACATGGTGCTCTGTACCCAGATTTTCTCGGTTCACCCTCAGAAGTGTCTCTGAGGTGGGTATTGTTGTCTCCCAATTCAGATGAAGAAACAGAACTAGGAAAGGTTCAGTTACCTGCCCAGGGTCCCGAGCCAGCATATGGCAGAGCCCCAGCAGAAGCCTAAGCCTCCATGACCACTATGGAGCCAGGCAGGCGCCAGGGCCTACCTCAAGCGCTGGGCCAATCAGCTGACCCTCAGAACCAGTTTCCTCATCATGACAGTTGCCTACATGATCTCTAAGCACATGTCCAGCTGTGGTTCAGGGTATATAAAGCTAGCAAATGATGCCATTCCTCTAGGGCAAACGATTACCTACATGATCACATATTTGGGGCAAATAATGTGAAATGAGCCCAGAAGTAGAATCATCGAGAAGCCAATGTAGCTTTAGCTTCAGGATCCCTCATCCTAAGTCCTCCAAGAGTCCCTAGTATGTTACATTTGTATTTTTAATACTCTTTCCTAAAGAAGGCCTCCAAAAGTGCGTAAGCTTCAGGACCCACATAATCTGGATCTGCCTTGGAGCCTGCCAAGTAAAGGAGTTACAGTGTTGGCTTCGCTGACAGCGTACAGGAAGTAGGGGAACGGGGAAAGTTCTGGAACTAGGGAGGTAGCCTGACGGGCCACTCTGACTCTCAAAGAGAGCCTGGAGTGAGGGGCAGAACCCAGGAGGGCCAGAGGCCCTGGTGAGGGGCCACACTCACTCTCCCTCCAGAAGCAGAAGCACCACTCAGCGGTGGAGACACGGCCGTCCTTGTAGGTGTCACAGGAGTTGAAGAAAGGGCGGATGCAGACCTCGTACTTGTCCAGATTGATGGCGGCCAGCTCTGTCTGGTCCAGGAAGAGATCGGCACTGGTGTCCAGCTTGGAGAACATCCAGCCAATAGAGTCTTTGCAGCTGGCCCCCAGGCTCTTGTCCAGGCCTGGGGAAAAAGCCAAAGTTCCGACATGCTCAAGGTAAAGTACTCCATCCATCTGTCATCCATCCCTCCACCTCTCCATCATCCTCAGCCCTCTGTTCAGGGTCAGGGCAGCTCGGAATCTAAGCATGGGGGTGAGAAACTCAAGAATGGCCAAAGGTCCAGCCCTCTGCCTCTACCTAGGACTGCACCTAAACCATTCAAAACCCTGTTTGAAAGACCTTCAGGAAAAATAAAGCCTTATCTTCCTTTGGCTACCAATTTCAGGGTTTAAGAAGTTCTTCCTACTACCCAGCCCAAATCCCTCCTCTCCGGTTGAAGCCTGCCGCCCCTTGTTCTAGGGTTTAGGCTCTTTTAAAGGCTCAGAGTCTGGTAGGAGGGAGCACAAGGTTGGCTGGCCCCAGTGCACACCTGTCTTCCCATCTCCCACCCTCCTCCCAGCAGAGCAACTGGCTCTGGTACCACTGGCTGGGCTGGCTCCACTGCTGGTTGAGCCGTTCTGCTTGGAGTTCTCATGGAGGAGCTGGAACCAGTCCCGCAGCCGATCCCCCAGGTCAGCCAGGTCCTGACCTGTGCAGGTCTCTGCAGAACAGGGGGTAGAAAGTGAAAGTGGGTAAAGCAGCAAGCATGACCTCAGCTTAGGATGCTGCCCTACAGGCCAAGAGGCCAGGCAGTGGACAGGGATGCTATAGGGAAGGGAGTCAGAAATCTCCCACTCTCTCCCCTCTTCTTCCTCCCCGTCACTCACTAGCACTAAAAACAAGCACAGGCTCCCTGTGGCTGAGGCCAAAGCTCTCTGCTGTGTTAACCAGGCCCCCGCAACCCCACAGGTCCCTCAGGCCTGTCCTTGTTTTCACTCCTTCTCCCTTGCCACTCTGAGAACCTCTCTTACCATCCCGGAGCCCTGGCAGTGAGACCCCCGCCCCCACCCCCCCACCCCTCACCTGGCTGTAGTCCTGCGTTCCTCATTACCTGGTTTGCCATCGGTGGTGGAGGTGACAGTCTGTTCTGTGGGGCAGGGGCAGGGGCCCTCACATTTCACCATCAGCTGCTTGCTGCTCAGGCACGCCTGCTGCTCCAGCTTACACTGCATGAGAAGAAAGGTCACGCTGGGTGATGGGGACCTTGTACCTGGGGCACCTACCATGGCAGCCACACCTGCCTTCTCCACTGGATACAGGAGGACAGCGCCCATGAACCGCCTGGAGGGGCCCACCCGGTTCCTCTGGAGGCTGCAAGTACACAGTGTAAGGGGCGGCAGGCCCAGGAAGAGGGTCCTAGCAATCGAAGGCTCCCATGAACTGTACTCTGTGCCAGCCTGCCCTTTCTGCTCATTTTTCTTTCCTGGGATACCTGTCTCCCCACTCCCTCACCCCCAGACCCACCTCCCATGTTTGGCTGTTGCCCACCTCCCTCCTTGTCCTCATGGCCTCTCTTCCTGCTCACCACAGTCCCTTGGTCCCTGGGTAACTGACTGCTGGCCCCCTCCTTCGATGGCCTTCCCACCATGCTCGGCTCTCTTGATAACAAACAGCTACCGGCTACTGTACATCTGCTAATTCCCAGGCCTTTACTAAAAACACTCGGTTGCAGTTGTTAGCTAAAGCCAGCTGCTGAGAGGGGCTCATCCATTCCTTGCCCTTAAAGCATTTTCCCTTGGTGGCATCTGGTTTCTCCCTGTGGGGTGACCGCTAATGAGAAGCGGGTTGTAGCATTTTACAGCATTATCTCGCTTGGTCCCCTTCAGCTCTGTGAGGGAGGAATTGTGTTTCTTGTGCTCAGCAGAGAACATGAAGCTCAAATAGGGACTCGCCCAAGGCCACAGGGTTGGGATGGAAGCCAGACCTCTCAATGCCCTCTACCTCTCCACAGGGCAGTGCCATGACCCTCAGACCACAGCTTCCTGCCCAAACCTCACTGTGCCCTTGGGCGTGTGACACAGCAGTCTTCTCCTCTTTATCAGGCCGCCTGTCTCCTTTGTATCCCTCCTGCCTCCTCACTGC